ATGTTTGATTGATGAAACAAATGAAACAAACGAAATGGTTATTCGATGGTGATGTACAGTAAACTACGGTTATAACGAACTCAAAGGGACTACTAATTTTAGTTCGTTATAACCGTAGTTCGTTATAAGCATATATACAGCATAACTACAGCAAATAGTCGGGACCAAAAAGTAAGTTCGTTATATCCGTCAGTTCGTTATAAGCGTGTTCGTTTTAACCGTAGTCTGCTGTATTTGATACAGGATTAGATGTAAAAGTCTTGAACAATTCGGATGCCATCAGCAGTGGAAACAAGCCTGTTACGTTTCAACATTGGTCTTGAAGTTTCTGAGGAAATGATGTTTACAGCGTGAGGAAATTACTTTGAGAGAAATTAGGAAGAAATGGTAAAATAATTAAGATATAAATAATTAACCCTGAAAATATGTGTTTAACCACACTACCAACCACACAAATGCACCAAATTTATTTCACTTTAAAAGAAAATGACCTGGAGCTTACAGTAGTATCCAAATGCAAAAGGTCCAAATATCTAAAACATCGGAACGTATGTGTTGAACTAACTACACTTGTACCAGTTTGAGTTACATACATTTTCAGCAAAATGACCAAATGATGGTCACAAAGACCTTCACAAGTCTTGCCTCGGCCGCATTGATCCTCTTGAACAAATTCAGGTGCAGTCATTGTTGGAAACACCCCTAGCGTATTAGATTGGGGATACAGTCGAGTGCTTCACTGGGTCCAGAACTCATGATCCGTGATGTTAATATAATTACAACTACATAATACAAGGTCACTAGGCGGCAGCCAGTCTGCCAACTCGCTGTCCAAATATCAAGTACCTGGCTCCTACAAAGCATGAGTTACAATGACCCCTATGGGGAATCACTGTTTCGCGTTCAATACCTGTATGGCTAGTTGAAGTAACCCGCATCTCATCCACGTCAAACTTCAGTGGTCATCCAGGCATTCTCCATCTTTAATGATAGGCTAGTGACCCGCATATGACAAGGCGCGGCATCCTCTTAAAAACCTCTGCATGCCAAATCTTCATTTAGCTGCCCCATTCACAACCACTGCTTCTTACCCGTTTACTTTAAAGTGGATCGGCCTGATTATGTCCCGAAGCTTCTATTCTTCTACACAAGTAATAATAGGGCTTATATGAAGACAACCCATGCTTGCCGTAAAAGGCGACTAACGGGATCGGGTGGTCAGTCTCGCTGACTTGGTTGGTACATGTCATATCGTATCCTATAATCGCGTGGGTAGATGTTCATGATGTAAATCACTGGATTGTCTGGCCCAGGCACTATTTACGGACTGCGGCGTTAAACAACAAACAAACATCATTGATTCAGTGGTTTCTGAGATCATGTTTACAGTGAGAGGATATGCATTTTCAGAGAATTTAAGAGCTTGGTCCAAACTGCAAATGTCAAATGAAGGGCAAAATTTCAAATATCTAAAAAAGACGGGACGTATGTGTTAACCTTACCACTGCTCACTCTTTATTCCTCTTAATGGAGGCTTACGGCACATTTTGACATTTGTTAACAAGACGTGAAAAATACCTACTAAATATTTATAAAATGGATTGAAGAGAGAGGATTTATGACAGTTTACTCTTAACATTGTTTTAGTGGGGCATAGCATGATAACGGTACATTTTGTAGATTTTGAGCACACGTACCGCTTTTTGAAAGAAATTAAAGTTCAGATGTATTCTTTTTGTTTGTGATACATTATGGCTATACGTCTCATATACATATTTTGTAGGCAACTGTTTAGATACAGGTCAACTAGTCTTGAGAGATATTCATCCTCCATACGTATACCGTATTCGACGTAATAAGCGTCCAGGGCGCTCTCAAAATTAGGAATAGGGGGCTCTTATTCGAATATTATTTTGGTGTAAAAAACAGAGTTGAAAGATAAATTTTGTGGTTTAAGCTGACACACTGAAATGTTTATGTACGACAGATATATTTTTCCAGAATTTATTTGCCCATTATTAAGAATGCATATAACACATGAGTGTGTATCATACGCGAATAAATAAGTCTTGTGTACATTGATCAGTTGGAAGGGGTGCTAATTGGGATTGTTCACTTGCCAATATATTAACAAATATCGCCCTGGGCGCTTATTGGAGCGGGGCGCTTATTACGTCGAATACGGTAACCCTAGTTACAACTTTCACATAATCTATCACTTTGTGGTATATCAACACATTCTTCCAGTTTCAACCTACACTTGATGTGAAAAAGTCGAAATTGTTCAAAGGACACTAAAAATATTGACATACAGTTGAGGTATATCTGTTCCAAATGTAACCTTTAAACATTGGAAATGATACTGTTTTAGTACCGTTTTAAAGCATAGTATGCCAATTCTGTTCCTATATGTACATTTCTGATAAAAAAAATTTGAAATGCAAATGTCTTGCATTCTCTGATTCCCCCGGGCTCGCATTTCGGTAACCTACACGGAAAACATATTTTTAACCCCGGGATCTTTTCCCATGGTGTTATATTTCGCGGGAACAATCATGTGAAGTTTCTGCTTTATCAGTTCGGTGGTTTCTGAGACGTTTACGCAGGACAAACAGACCACGGCATAATGCATTCCGGGTTACAATTTGCTTGTCGTGAGAGGCAGTTCGGTGGATCCGTTGGTCCGGCTAAATGATTGCCGCACTCCGACCACGTTGATCGTTGCTTACAATATCATTCACTGGTTTGTCTGGTCCAGACTCGATTATTACAGGCCGCTGTCATAAAGCTTGAATATTGGAGATAACAATAATAATACTCTCGAGGCAGCTCTCTCCACTTGACCACGGAGGGAAAAAATTTGACTAGTTTCTGTTTTGATGAGAAATGAGCTGCTGAGAACCTGAGGCATCTCTGTGGTAAATATTCTATCACCAAACTCCATAAGTATGGTAGAGCTGACACTTTAATATACTCAGCATCATTATTGAGAGGTCACCAGATTATAAAAGTTGAAGTATTAAAAAAAACGTGGCATGTTTAACTTCTAAGACTGCACTTCAGTCACATCTGGAATGAACCATGTTATACCCATTTTGACTGTTACTTGTCATTCATTGCACATTCGTGGGCTAAACCATTGGTTGCGTTCAGGCGTCATCTTCCCAAGGCAAGGGAGTTAACTGACCTTAATAGTCTAGTTACCACCCTTGCCGAACTTGGCTGGAATTTCTGGGCTCAGGTGTAGCGCCCACCCCTTCCCATCACTTTCTATCTTTCACTTTTCCTTGTTTTAAACAATCGTCCATCTTTCCGTGAATAAACAATGCCTTTTAGAAAGTGTTCAAATGTAACAAATGTTATCATTAGTGATAATACTTTTCTTAGTCAAGTACCAAATTTAGTACTTTTGGGGGTTGAGTCCAATCGGGGATTTCAATCCACCCTCTCAGAATGAGGTACCTTATCACCAAGCACACAGTCAGTGACTTTAACCCACTCAGTCACCGATCAAGGCATCCACAAAATGGAAGTCTGAAAAATCCTGAATCCTGGATTGGACTCAACCAAACAAAGTACTAGAATTTGTACTTTACTAAGAAAGTGTTATCCGTAATATCACATTTGTCCATTTTTCTGGTTTCATGACAGCATCCAGTCCGTGTGACATAGGCAGGAACAACATCTTATAACTGTTTATCCCATTGTCAACATACTCACACCTGTTGACCTTGTTGGGATATGTTCTCGTTTGACACCCTACATACCAAGGTGACTCTTCAATAACGATGCTAAATCTACACTGATAAAAGATAGTCAGGATCTTCAAGGCCGTAGATAACTTTTTTTGACAGGGGGGGCAAATATTTGAACAAGTATCACTTGTCCCCAACTTGTATTTTCATGATTCAAATAAAACTGTTTTCTATAAAAAATCCAGGGGGGCAACCGCCGTTACACCGGGTTACAACAAGTACCATCTTTTAACATCTTTTGGTATGACGCAGCCGTGGATTGAACCCCGGACCTTTCTTTCTCCGGGCAGACGCTCTACCAACAGACCATGGAGGCTCAGTTGGAACAACACCATTGATCTTACTAAGTGATGTGTTGCATTAGAAGTCAAGATGTGGTGCAATAATGATAACATTTACAGAACATTACCTCGACCAGCCAACAACATGTCAGTCTTATTGTCATTCAGCTCTAATTTGCTTGTGGTCATCGAAGGCATCACGTTTGAGACGCATGGTTGACGCCATGGGAGCCGTGTCAATTTACACTTGTCAGAGCGGTACTCAAAGTACGTGATCTAGACTACCAGTTTTCGGACTTTCATTTTTGTGGAAGCCTCGGTGGCTGAGTGGGTTAGATTGTTGACTTTGTGTGATGGCGATTAGGTGCCTCACTCTGGCAGTGTAGGTTCGAATCCCGGACGCCAAAAAGTACAAGAATCTGTACTTTACAAAGAAAGTGTTATCCCAAATATAACATTTGTTACATGGTTGAACTTGTGTGACCTCAGGTTTTGGATGTTGAGTACTATATCAATATATAAGGGCAATCTACAGAATGATGGCTGCTTAGCTCAGAGATCTCCTGTGAATAAGGTAAACAGCACAGGTCCAAGGACAGATCCTTGTAGGACTCCACCAATACCTTCATGCATACCTGATGTGACATCAGTGATAAGCACAAGCTGGGTTCTGTTGTTGAAGCATGATGAGGACCAATTTTGTTTGGTACCGAAAAACCAAGAAGTGACAAATTGTGCTTGCCCAAATTGAAAATTCACTTGCCCCTGGCATCAGGCAATGGTATTTTTGAATGCTGTTTACTGTCCAGACTTGATTATTTACAGACTGTCATATAGCTGGATTATTGCTGAGTGTGACGTTAAACAACAAACAAACAAACAAAACAAAAAATATCATAGGTCTAACATTCATTCATGTCAACACATGAAGAATACTTGACCTACAATGAGACCAACTCAGACAAAGCATGGAAGATTTAATGATATTTAAAATGATACACAATGATTTCCACACACAGCATGCAAGTGACGGAGGTAAATGCCAAACCTCAATATCTGGTAGGATGGCTTCAAACAACACTACAGTATACTGTATATATGATATGAACCACAGGACAGGAATGTACCTGTATATAAATATTCTGGGTAACATTAAATATTTGACATAGTCATCAAGATAAGATCTAGTTTATTACCACTTTCAAAAACTGACTACTGAAAATTTCTCAAATTTCATATAGTCTCTCCATTTCAATTTTCTTTAAAAAGATGTAAGAAACTTTTAACAATAAAATGTAACAAAAAAACTGACTAAAAGAAAGAGTTGGTGGTGAATGTGTGGAGGGCCGAGATCTGTGAAAGTGTACAACACGAGACGGCTAGACACGGCTCTGGTCTAGAGATGTGTTCAGGGAGTGGTTCCGGTACATTCCGCACACGCCCAGTTTCTGCAACACAATGACAAGAGTTCATCATTGATCCAAATGAACAGATGAAATGTACAATGATAAGTCAATGCTGTGATATCTACACTCATGGATAAACCATTACAAGAATATGGATAAATCATTACAAGAATATGGATAAATCATCACAAGAATATGGATAAACCATTACAAGAATATGGATAAATCATTACAAGAATATGGATAAATCATTACAAGAATATGGATAAATCATCACAAGAATATGGATAAATCATCACAAGAGTATGGATAAATCATCACAAGAATATGGATAAATCATTGCAAGAGTATGGATAAACCATTACAAGAATATGGACAAATCATCACAAGAATATCCAGTCTGAGGAATAAGATAAAAAATATTTGAGTTAATATTTAGATTTTATGCAAATTATATCTTACATATCAACATATATTATGATCAGGTGCAGGTAGCTTTGTCTGCATGTAGCCAAATCATACCTACTGAAAACAATCATCTAATCTCAAGAACCAACAATTTAAATGATGTTTTAACACAAAATTTGATAAGTTTATTTTAACACAGCTGGCAGTCTTCTTCATCATACCTCTGAGAACTGCTGAGACTTGGCATGAAAGCATGTCGGCATGGTGTGAACTGTCGGGGCTCGGCGGCCATATTCACACGACGTGGTCATGTACATGGGGTGCTGGGGCTTCCCGACGTAGCCTTCAAACCAGTCTGCAACACACGCATCACCATCATTAGTCACTGCATCTTCTCCGTGATCAGCACAAACTCACATTGTAGTGATTGAAGGATCAGTTTACTATGGAAATATACTCACCGCCTAGAGAAACACGAACCATTTTAACATATGGAGAAGTATGTACGTTAAGAGTGAGTGAGTGAGTTGGGTTTAACGCCGCTTTTAACAGTATTAAAGTTATATCGCGGCGTGTCAGCTTAATGTGGGAGGAAAGCCCAAAGTAATGCAGGTCTAAGACGTTTACCACTTCGGTGAAACCCACAAGCACGGGTATGGTGCTGACAAACCTAGAAACATAATCGGGGTGAACCGGGATTCGAACCCACAATCATAGATTTCTGGCGTGCCCAAGGGACGCAACTCTGCACGTGAATCGTGGCGCCTTAAAAGACTGGACCATCTGTGCCCCCATGTACGTTAAGAAGAGATAACACTACTAACAATCAAAGTCTTACCACAGCATCTTTATTCTTATCATGATGTGCTGCATGTGATTTCCAAAGTTTACATGCTAATCCTGCCTGAGACAAACAATGCATCTCGAGTCATGGGTCTATGACATCACATATGTGATGCGTTCATGAGTGTCGGTTCACACAACATACCAGTATGTTCGTCTGTGAGTGAACAAATCTAATATCTCTTGAATATGAGTAATTCTATATATATCAACCAACATGTATATTTGCTTTTCTTTTGGCGGTGAGTATACATAGGGCTGTAATAATTCATCGATAATCAATAATGGCAACCATACTTTAATAGGTACAGACGATGCTTGGATTGTCAGCTTGTGAGATCATGATATGCTATAACTAGAACAGGGGCCCGTTTCACAAAGAGATCGTAGCGCTAAGGTGGTCGTAAGTCTATGTTAAAGTATAGGAGTTATGATAGTCGTAGCGCTATGATCGCTTTGTGAACCGGGCTCCAGGAACTTTGTTTGTTTGTTTGTTTAACGCTGCACTCAGCAATATTCCAGCAATATGACGGCAGTCTTTAAATAATTGAGTCTGAACCAGACAATCCACTGATTGATATCGTGAGCATCGATCTACGCAATTGGAACACAATGACATGCATCAACCAAGTCAGCGAGTCTGACGGCCGATCCCGCTAGTAGCCGTTAACGACAAGCATAGTCGCCTGTTACGGCAAGCATGGATTGTTGAAGACCTATTCTACCCCGGGTCTTCACAGGTCAACAGGAACTGATGGAGATGACTCGTCACGGTGGAAGTAACATATTGTCTGTTATAAACATGGTGGAAAATTCCTCAAACAGAAGAGATGTTTTTAGCAGGTGTCGAGCAGTTACATACGAAGCAAGAGGTATTTGAGTATCATTTCAGTGATTTCATTTCTGACTATTTGCTGTGGTGTATTGTGATACCAGTACATGGTATCACGAGATCTCCGACGATACTCAAGTCTAGAACTATAATGCCCATGAGCCCATTCCACACAGCAATCTTAGCGCTCTGACTAAAGTAACTCATGGAAGTTAATGCTAAGATCACTTCGTGAATCTGGGTCAGCGCACTGAATGACCCCAAAATGTCAGGTGATGTACTCACTTGGGTTGTCGAACCTGGCTGGCATCTCCTTTGTCCGGTAGTACTCAGACGTCTTGGCATCCTTCGGAACTCCTCCCGGTCCCAGCTCAGGAGCCTGGGGCGTCTGTGTCTGCAAGCATCACACAATATACAATATGCTGATTCTCACATAAGTTTCATATAGTGCCTGTTGCTAGAGTATAAGGACCAGCACAACACAGATGAGTTCGGTTGAACACTGCTTTGAACCATCTTCCCGAGGCAAGAGAGTTAACTGAGTATAAAAGTCCAGTTTCCACCCTTGCCAAACTAGGCTAGTATTATGGAGTTACATTTTGGCTGGACTAACAAGACTATGCATAGTCCAATCAAAATCGCGCGCCGAAATCGAAATCCGGTTCGTACATTGTCGTACAGATTTCGGTCGATTGCGAATTTGCAAAGCATGTTCACCGCCAACTCGTCAGCAGATATACGTGATTTGATGCATTTTGCGATGTAAGACCCGTTTTATCAGAATATAGATCTTGATTGTCGATCAGATCTAACTGACCTGGCGCCACCATTTTGTGTGAAGCAAACGCAAGTGATAAGAGAGGTGGAATCTGATTGGTCCATAGGAGAGGCTTAGAAGGGACATAACTGGTAATAGCCACTGGTGGCACTACGATCGAGCCCAGTAATTCCAGCCTAGTTCGGCAAGGGTGGAAACTGGACTTTTAAAGTCAGTTAACACTCTTGCCTCGGGAAGATGCTTAGGAACAGAACATCACATATGTTAGGTTTATGATGGAGGAAAGCCTGAGGGGATCTTCAATGTTTCGTGAAACAAACCAGCATGGCTAAAAAATGATCAGGGTAAAGCAGGATTTGAACCAAGCTCCTTCCCAGTGCCTGACACCTTCGTTACAATCTCGTTAACATCGCTGCCACCAGTGTGGATGCGGCCATTACAAGAATCTTGAAATTTGCCTTCTAACCCCAAATGTTGTAACGTTTATACTTTTGTTTATGTCTTTGGGAATGCCATCGACTGGTGAAGATTCCGGGGTAGAATAGGTCTTCAGCAACCCATACTTGCCGTAAAAGGCGATTATATATGCTTGTCGTAAAAGGGGACTAACAGGATCGGGTGGTCAGGCTTGCTGACTTGGTTGATACATGTCATCGATCCCAATTGCGTGGATTGATGCTCATGATGTCACTCACTGGATTGTCTGGTCCAGACTCGATTATTTTACAGTCCGCAGTCATATAGCTGGAATATTCCTGAGTACGGCGTTAAACAACAAACAAACAAAATCAACATCCGTCAGCCAGTTTCTACAGAATCCATGTCATAAAAAAACAAAACATAACTGTCATTTCTGATTACATGAATCACTATTTCTTTTGAACAAGGCCACAATTTCTGTATCCTAACCAGAGAAAACTTGGATCAAGTCAGTGGCCTGATGAAGTGAACTGTTTGTTTTGTTTCCCTGGTTAAATGGCATGGTGTCAACAATCTGAGGAAGAACCTGTTTGTAAGTTGGCTGTGAACAACATGAGGAATAATACTTCAACTAAATGCTACATTCTCAATCTGCAACATTAGACAATATTGTAAACATTTCAATTTTCATGATGATATTATCATTTTTATGTGCCTAACTCGTTTGAAGATCTCTATTGATCATGATGTCAAATAAAAGAGCATTATCTGTTGACTATGTGAATAATATGTAAAAAATCTCTTTTATAATTCTTTTCGTGTGAATAAACAAATTTAAATGATAGTTTACCTCGTTGGCTTCCATTTTGTGAGTTTCCTGTCAAAATGTTTTACTTCAGACTGAAGCCTCGAGCTTGGAGATCTATAAATAGTTCGTTGTCAACTGGTTGCACAGCAACGATCAATGGCATGCGTGAAATAATACCTTCTTTCCAACTATTTGCGTTGCAACTATAACAACTATTAAACAGACGATTCATACATCAATTTTGTCAGGATTTGAATGTAACTAATTATTTTTTATATGACGAAAAAAAATATAGTATACCAGACTATATTTTATTAACGTTTCAAGAATATGGATTTCTTTCAGTCTTTTAACTAACGGAAATAGTTGTTATACTAATAGTATATACCCATTTGAGAAAATATTCAAACGAAGATATAATCATAAATATAGTTTGGTAATATACTTACTATTTATTTGTTATGGTTTCTACGTGTATTTGTAGACAGCAAAGACGATAGCAATTATTGATACCACGTGAACGAGAAATAAATAAACCTTAGCGCCATCTTTCGGTAATTTCAGACGAAGTCACGTGTGGTCATAGCCGAGTAGGTTCCTGTGTGGGAAAGCAGGAATAGTTTCCTAGTTTGCGAGATGAACTCAACAAATTATACCAGCGACGGTTTGCTCAGCGATGACAAGGTTGGTGTTAGGATATTTAATTTCGATATTGAATTAACTGACCTACCGTTAAAGTAGAATGTGTGTTACATTTGTTTAGCCATGTAGGTCAGTGCACGAATACAGAAGGGTTTTCGATGACGACCTGTCAAAAACGTATATTTCGTTCATGAACTGTACAAATATGTAGGGTTAGGAACGAGAACTTTCGAATGCTGATATAAATGTATTTAGAGTGTTATGTTAATATTCACACATTCGATCTCTGACTGAAAGAGGTGCTGACAGTAACACTATCTTTAACTGCGATGGTAGATTACCTCGTTTTCCCGAGATTTAAATAAAAAATAGTTTCCCGTGGGTTTGTGACTGAAAAGTTTATATCGCTGTACTCCGAGATAATTCCCCTACCTATATACATACTTGTCATAATTTTGCTACCACAACTTGAGGTAATAACAAACTGGTAACACGTTCACTTCATGTTTCGACGACTCCGTGGGGACGGGTTGTAGTCAAAACGGCCTAATATCAGAAAGGCCTCAAAACTGAAAAGTCAAGACGGTCACAAAAAAAGTCAAAATGGCTACAAACCCATAGTCAAAACGGCCACAACTGATAAGTCATTACGACCACAGGTAAAAAGTCAGAATGACCATGATAATAATGATAATGGTGACCTAATTGCAGTTTTGGATGATACAGTGTACTAGGATATCAATGTGCAGGCTAAAACGGCACTTCAGCAAAACGTCACCGATTTCTCAGATGAAACAACGGCACCTCATTTGGCGAAAATGGCACCTCTCTTTTTAATAATAATAATAAGAACATATTTATGTGGTAGTATATATGCTTTTTTTACATGCTTTATTATGTTATGTTGTAGTATGTATGTTTTACTTGGGCGGGAACATGTGGTCTGTTATCTGAAAAAAACATTCTTGTGGTGTTGGCTGCCGGCAGAAATGGGAGATATATATGAAATATCAATAAAATTACTATTTATTTCCTACTTACTAAATAAATATTAAATATAATGTATACCTGTAGTCCAATTTCTTGAAATTCCCCCAGAGTTAATTTGAATAAAGGTACTTAAACCTTCAAAATATGTGTTGATTTAACAATAAGTTTAGTTGCGCCTCCCAATCAGTCGGTGAGTAAATTGGAGTTGAGACTAATTTCTAATTTTAACTTGTTTTAAGGCGATTAACATTTTACAATTATTTGTGTTTGCAAGTGACCATGTGAGTTTAATTTCAGTTATTTTACTTCAAAGTATGTTACGTCTTCACAATAAGTTTAGTTGCGCCTCCAAATTAGAGTTGGCGAGTAGAGGCTAGTTTCTAATGTAAACTATTTTAACATTTCTCAATTATTTGTGTTTGCAAGTGACCATGTGAGTTTAATTTCATGTATTTCAGCACCTAGGTTTAAAAAAAATAATAAGGTGCTGTTTTGCCAGGCAATAGCAGCCGTTTTCGCTTTTGACGAGGGGACATTTTTGCCAATCGGTACCATTTTGCTGAGGTGCTTTTTAGCTATAACCTGAATATCTCTACAAAGGCATCATTTGATCAATGAGATATGTGTTTTCAATCACGTACAACTTGAAGCAATCAATATTTAATTTTAATCCACTTAATTAGGATTTGCATACAGAAGAGATATCTAGATAAACAACTATGTTGCTAGTAGGCAGATACAACAAGCCTACCTTCACCCTTAACCCTGCAGACTAAACGTTAGTAGTCATACGCCAATAACTGTACAGTGGGATAAAGTCAATCTTTCTGACAAGTCTGATCAATTCCTTATTCAAATTGGCTGTCTGATATTATAATAGTTATGTGTATGTGGCATTGGTGCAGAATTAAAAAATTGCGGTCATTCACATGAAGTTCAACATGGGAGAAAAAGGTCGAGAAGCGCGGTAACCATTTCACTAATCTCAACATATTTCGCAATCCTTAGCACTTAAAAATATGGGTTTCACGATGTTAAAGCTGAGATGATTAACATTAAGGTAATGATGGTTATAATTTTGATTTTGCGCACTCAACGTTTGACATCTTAATTTACAGTTGAAAAGGGACATTTTCATAGGACCATATATGGCACTAACAGGGTGTGAAAAGTGAGGGTTAAGCAATCTGCTATTATTTTGGAGATGAAAATGAATTGTTTAAAGAAAAGTTTAAAGTTTGAAATGTTTAACTATACCTTTCTCTAAAGCAAGAGATACGGAAATAAGTCACTAACATGTTTGTCAGGTAACCTCTTTGAGAGTTATTTAGATGTTGGAGTACTAAGTAAGGATAAGATACATGGATGAACAACTTCTTTATTACAATTAGGAGCGACGTTTCGGTGTAGGTTCTAACACTGTTATCAAGTAAGTGATGTACAGAGTATGGTTGACATATGTAGAGAGCTGATTCAGAGTAATTTTTGGAGACTGAACTTTGATATTTTTTAATTCAGGGTTTGAAGGGCCCAGATGTTTCACCAAAATGAGCTTGTCCATAATTGCACAGAATGTGGTACACTGCTCCTGATGGTTCTAGCTTGTGGTTGGATCGTGCTTTTCCTGTGGCTTTATTTGTGTTCTAAATGCTGTAACTTCTTTTGAAAACTACATCAATGTTGGCCTGTTTCTTGATACCCATGACGATCCGGGGTAGAATAGGTCTTCAGCAACCCTTGCTTGTCGTAAAAGGCGACTTTGCTTGTCATTAGAGGCGACTAACGGGATCGCGTGGTCGGGCTCGCTGACTTAGTTGAAGCATGTCATCGATCCCAATTGCATGGATCAATGCTCATGATATCAATCACTGGACTGCCTAGTCCAGACTTTATTATTAACATGATTAACAGATCGCCATCATATTGCTGGAATATTGCTTAGTGCGGCGTAAAACAACAAACCAAATCTTTAACATTGTTAAGAGTCTCTGGATTTTGTGGCTTACTGTTCCAAAGTAGGGGAGGCTTTTCCGATAAAAAGTGGTCTTGATTTTATTGGCGAAACATCTGTGTTGGCAGGGGAAGGGAGTCTGGTGGTTGAGGGCACGGGAGCGGGCAATAGTGTTCCTTAGTCCAACATACCACTTTGACCCTGACTTTGCCTAGATGGGTGGTAGAATGGGCTCAATCTTTTTCAAATCTACAAAGGTATCGCTGGCATCTGCGGAGAGGTCACAAATGTTACCAAACGTCTGTCAGGTTCTCTCCTTGTACAATGTTCAAAGAAACAGCTATCAGTAAATTTGCTCAAATTGAAAGAGTTCGTCAACATTAAGGTCAACATTAGGGTTTAACACAAGACAAAGAACTCATGTAAGTCTGACATGAACGAAGATCAAATCGTAAATTAATGAAATGGTGTCATATACTGTACTTTAAGATCTAGTAATTACTTTAATTTCAGGCAGTTTATGTTTCTTGTCAAGAATTTAGTACAAGGAACATTATGGTGTATCCCAAAGGATGCAAATGTATTTTTTCTGCGTCCATTCTATACATTTGTGCATACTGGATGCACAGGTCTGTGTCGCGTAAAACCCTGCTTCAAGAACTTGTCCATCGCAGCTGTGAGGCGATTTACTGTCAGAAAGGATGGTGTGGTTGAAACCGACTATCACCAAATCTTTCACTTTTGTCCGTTCAAAGATTCCATCCAGCTACTGTACAATATCATTAACTAGCTGTGTTTGTAAAACCATTGAACGCACGGTCAACAATTATTTAGTCTGGAATTGGAGACGAATAACCCCTAAGTGACATCCAGAATCATTCCAAAATTCCATTGTCAACAAACAACATACTGTTTCAATCTTTTTGACCTGGAGAAGGCATATGATACAACATGGAACCATGGTATTTAATGAAAGATTTGGATTGTGGGATAGATTACTTCACTTCATATCTCAGTTATTATAGAACATACAATTTCAACGAGTGGGCGCTACTCTGTCTGATCAACAACATTTCTTGTGGTAAGAATATGCATACGACAGCTCAGAGCTCCAGACAAGCTGCGTATCTGCTTGAAATACGCATCAGAAATGCAGAAATACACAGTAAAATATAATCCAAGCGTATCAAATACGCAACGAACATTACAGATACGCTACAAAAATAAAACTTGTGCGTATCATCAAAATATTGTGAAGTAACCCTGCGTATTCGATTAGCAAACCAGCAACATATTTTTAAATTATAAATGGGCATTCAGTCAACCTTGCCAAACTCCACGATGACAGTTACATCATGATCATTTGCCATCACACTTTCTTGTGGAAGTATCGTGGTATTTTTGAGTCCTATAAAGCTCTCGAACCCACACGACACCAGTTTGCAGGGACTAGAGGAAAAGTGTTTTTAAATATTTAACTTAAATACCCACATGTGTAAAAACTAGTGGGTAACAGAAATTTGAATACGCAGATAGAATTACTGATACCCAATGATTTTAAAATGCATGGGTAAAATACCCACAACACCAAAAGTTTATCTGGAGCTCTGCAGCTACAACTATGTCGTAACAAAATTCAAAAATGGGCCAACAAATGGCTTCTAGTTTTCTAACTCCAAAACAAACCATTCACTCTCGTCGTAAATTGAAACCGCACAAGGATCCAGATTTATGTTAAGATGGTACTCCTATCAAGGTGGTAGAAGTGGCCGAATTCTCGGCCTCCTTTTTGACCGTCATCTCACATTCTTACAACACATTAAATATATGAAGGGAAAGTGCCAGAAGGCGTGGCCCTTGACTTGTGAAAAGTTTCAAATTCCGAATGGGAGGTGGTTTTGACACAAAAAAGGCTGTATATAGGTTGATGACTTGGACCCAAGAAATGTCATTTGTTAATGGCAAATGTCAGTAAGTAAAATAAACAAAAATGGCGAATTAACCGAAGCAGCAAATCAGTGCCATACCGTTGGTGATTGGATGAATATATATCTGGCCATAAACGTTTCAATAAGAAAAGTGCTTGACTAAGTCATTATAC